CCTTTGGGAAGTTGGAGTCTTTTAAATGATAGTCATGGTTGTTGACTAGAGCCCCATTGTAAAGAATCCAGTAATATTAAATTTTCTAAATTGGAGGGATTATACAGTTAGATTGCTTGGAGTATAGAAGAGCCTTGGCAGAATATTGAATTTTTATTGAGTTAACCCTTCTCCAGAGGCTCAGGGAGAGAGGATGCCACACATTGTATCACTATTTGAGAGCGTACAAAATCTATGTTTACCTTCAATCTACCTATATCCTCAACAGATTTGTTAATAGAACTCATCATAGATGTGGACTTTTGTGAGTGCTGTAATACCTCCTGAATTATTGCTTATTTCATCAAATTCACATGACATCTACCATATTCTATAGAAAACTTGTCTCTCTAAGTCCAATGGGTTCTTGCTCCACACTTACTGAAAGATATTTATAGTTATTTGTTAGAATCAAGTCTAATTTAATCACAGAAGGAGTGACCCATAAAGAACCAGGTGTCTTGATCTAACAACTGTTTTACAGGGCATAATTAGATTTTTGCAGGAGAAGCATCACTAGTATAGTACTTATTAACTACACCTTAACAGAAACATTGAATTGGCAGCTATTCACTGTCTCTTTGGACAGTGTCACGTAGCATATATCAATAGATGGAAGAACAAGCAAAACTTATATTGGCACCTCCACCTGTACCCATATTTGTAATACTGGTAAGCAACTTAGCTGTGCTGTTACATCCTGAGCTGCTCTTGAGTGCTGCAGCTAAAGGCACTTCTTTTACCTGTGTCTGATGAGATTTGTTTTCTTTTTACCTCTACCGTACCTCACTTATCCACACCTTTGTCATCTCAAGACTGTAGATCAGTGGTTCTCAACTAGGAGTATGCAGAGGTCTTCTGGGCAGTACATGAACTCATCTGGACATTTGCCTAGTTTTACAACCGGCTACATAAAAAAAAACCACTAGTGAAATCAGTAGAGATTAATATTTCACACAATTATTTGTTTATACTGCGCTATATACTGAAATTTAACTAAAATATTTATATTCCAATTGATCAGTGTTTCTTAAAGTGCTCTGCGGATCCACTGTGAGAAAGCTGCTACCAGGTTTGTTTACTTACTGGCTCTGCAGACACATAGCCTCATGGCTCCCATTGGCTGCGGTTCATTGTTTGCAACCAAGGGGAGCTGCAGGAAACAGTGGCCCAGGGTCACGCTGCTTCCCGTGGCTCCCCTTGGCTGCAAACAGTGAACCATAGCCAAAGGGAGCCATGAGGCTCCATCGTGGCAAAGCCTGTGAGTAAACAAGCCATAGCGGCCTGAGAGCAGCTTTATTAGAATGGGTCCATGGTCCACTTTGAGAAACACTGCAATTGACTGATTTTATAAATCAATGGTAACAATGAAAGCGCTAGCAATATTTCAGTAGTAGTGTGCTGTGATACTTGTATTTTTTATAAACAACGAGCCGTCCTGTGGCACCTTATAGACTAGCACAGGGGTTCCCAAACTTTTTGACATGGGGACCAGTAAATTCATTCACAAGCTTTTGGAGGACCGGTAACATTCCTTTGCATATTTGCATATTCATTAAGCAAATGATGAATATTCAAATAAGTTGTTTCTGGTCCTCCCAAAGCCCCCAGTGCCAGCATTAGCAAAGCTTTTGATACAGTCACCCACAATACTCTTGCCAGCACGTTAAGGGAATATGGATTGGATAAATGGACCGTAAGATGGATAGAAAGCTGGCTAGATCAGGGTTTCCCAAACTTTTTACTTTAATTGAACCCGCTTTTTTCAGTACTGTTTTTTGCAGCCCCAAAATATAAACACATATTTAAAAAAAAGAATGAAAAATGAATAAATTTTCAGTGTTTCACCCGGCTGCATCCTCCACCCAGCCTGGGCTTGGGGGACCTGGAGCCGCATGGGCACTCCAGGAGACGGGAGCAGGAGCAGATTGGGGGTCTGGTATCTGGCTAGGAGGGAGGGTGCAAGGAGTGGTAGGGTTGCCAGGTGTCCGGTTTTGTACCAGACAGTCTGGTATTTGAGGGTTTTGTCCGGGAAACAAATTGAGAAATTACCAGACATATAAAATGTCTGGTATTTTCTAATTAGGTAAGTTTTATTATAATTAGGTGTATCAGTCCTTAGCTG